GCTCCCTAAGAGATCACCTAAGAGATATCTGTCAGTGATATGGCATGCTGAGGAACAGGGAGAATGCAGAGTAGGGAAACCTTGCCTCATTATTTCTTTCCCCTTCATTTGTCCCAAAGACCTAACCTGTACTGAATACCAAATACCATGGTATACTGGAAGAAGTGATGGTTTTGGAGTCAGAGGACCAGTATTCAAATTCGGCTTCTGCCACTTACTACTTTTGTGACAACGATGAAGCAATTTAACCTCTCATCTGTAAAGTAAGGGGGTTGGATAGGTGAGCTCTAAGGTCCCTTCCTGCTATAAATCTATAATCCTAAGAAGCAAGGCCTGGAATAACAGAGAAGGAAAATGAGGACATCCCAAGTATCAGCAGCTGAGAAGGAAGGGAAGTTATTATGGGGCCACCCATTCTTAAGGGGCAGACACAAGTCAGGGGCTCTGCTCCTCTTAAGCTTCAGCCACTTTCTCCACTCTGGGTACCCATCTATTTTCTTCCTTTCCCAAAGGTGCCCGAGCAATACCAGGTGCAGGCTGTTTTAGAAAGCAGCTAAGCTCAAAAGCCTTTGTTCTTTTCCAGAGGTAATTGCTTTCAACTGGCACCCATGCGCCTAGAAACACAGATGAACAGGCAGCCTGCTGTGCTGACAATAGATATGAGATGAACAGGCAGCCTGCTGTGCCGACAATAGACATGCTCACACGGTAAAACGTCTCACACACAAAAAAGTCAACTTGGGGGGCTGGGGGAGAGGAAGTTGCTGTTTATCCAGTTGATCAATTACAAAGATGCTCTGTCCTTCTGACTGATTTTGGCCTTTTTATTGCTCACTGAAGACTAAACAAAGCAACTGCAGTTTGTCAATTTTGCTACTTGCTAGCACTTCAAGGTTTGGTGGAAGTAAAAAAAGACTTGAAATTATATGTGGATTTTATTTAACCAGGCTATCCTCTGGTTTCTTATTATAACAGACGCTTGAGAAATGTCTATTCTAATTACTATGGGAAGAAGTGTGTGTGTGTGTGTGTGTGTAATTTATTCTTATCACATATAGGCTCAATGATATTCTCAGTGATATTCAGTAGCCACTAGTAGTACCATATAAAAATCAACCAACAAACATTTATTAAGCACCTACTACATGCTAGATACTGTTAGGGGCTGAGGTTGCAAAGACAAAAACCAAATAGTCCCTGCCCTTAAGAAACTTCTACTCACTCAGAGGAAACAGGTACAATTCAGTAAATACCAGGTAACTGGGGTAGAGGGGGGGATTAGTAACTGGGGGGGGGGGGATAGGTGGAAATCAAGAAAGGCCTTAAGTAGGAGGTGTTACTTGAGTTGAGCTTAGAAGGAAGCTGGTGAGAGATTCTAAGAAGCAGAGGTGAGAAGGTAGTCCATCCTAGGCATGTGGGATTACCTATGCAAAGGCACAGAAGGATGTGGGAAATTGAATGTTATGTTTGAAAAACAGTAATTAGGCCCCTTTGGCTGGATTGTAGAGTGCATAAAGGGAGCAATAAGTATAAGCCTGGAAAGCTAGAGGAAAGCCGGACTGTGAAGGGCTCTAAATGCCAAACAAAGGAATTCATATTTGATCCTGGAGGCAATAGGGAGCCACCGGAATTTTCTGAGCAGGGAAATAGGGCCTTTGCTTCAGGAATATCATTTCTGTGGAGAGTGGATTAAAGAGGATTAAAGGTTAGAGGCTGGAGACTATTGTAACAGTCTAGGTGAGAGGAGATGAGGGCCTAAATTAAGGTGGTGGCTGTGGAAGTGCAGAGAAATGGGTGGACTCTAGAGATACTGTGGGGGTAGTAGCAATAAGATTGGAAAACCAGAATAGCCTTTAAAAGGTAATACCTTGTCTTTCATGCAGCACCAAATTAATCAGCATTACAATATACTTGTTTAGTAGGCAGTGGTCAGTCAGTCAGTCAACAAGCATTTATTAAACACTTACTGTGTGCTAGGCACTTTGCTAAGCACTGGAAATACAAAGACAGGCAAACAGTCCCTGCTCCCAAGGAGCTCACAGTCTAATGGGGGAAGACAATATGCAAACTATGTACCAGAAATATGTAGATGATAAATTAGAAACAATCTCAGAGTGAAGGCACTAGCATTAAAGGATGTCTTGTAGAAGGTGTGATTTGAGCTGAGACTTGAAGCCAGGAGGCAGAGATGAGGAAGGAGAGAGTTGCAGGTATAGGTGACATGTGGGGACTCAGTAAATGCAGAGTGTATTGTGCAAGGAACAGCAAAGAGTCCAGTGTCATCGGGCTGCAGAGTATGTGGAAGGGAGTAAAGTGTAAGACTGGGAAGGGAGGAAAAGGCCAGGTAATGAAGAACTTTAAAAAACAACAGAGGATTTTTTATTTCCTCCTGGAGGGAACAGGGAGTCACTGAAATTTACTGAGTAGGGGGGTGTGACACGGTTAGTATTATCCTCAATTTACCCCCAAAATGTAGAAGTTTAATGACTTATCCAAGGTTACAAAGTGAGTCAGGAACAGAGCTAACATTAAAACCCAGACCTCTTGAAGAGTGCACAGGACAAGGTCTTCCTTAGCCTGTGACACCATATCCCCAAAGTCAATAAGCTGAGTTTGATTTTCTTCCTTTTATCTCATGAAAAGATAAAGGGATTTAAAAAATGATTTATGACCCACTACACTAGGAGCCCTCCCCTCCAAATAATTTCTTATGGTATAATGTCAAGACCTCTATACTGATTCACACAATTTACAAGATTGCAGCTATGTTGTCCTTAAGAACCTCTGATGTCCTGTTCACAAAGAGAGGCCCAAGTAGCTAAAATTCTCATTAAACTGATCTGAGGTGAAGCGTGTGGTACCTCAATTAACAACAATAGGAATGCAATGCCTACTGCAGTGACACAAGGCTTCCTGAAGTTAAAATAAAGTTGTGGCTACTTAGTCTTGCAGATGGAGAATAAATCATCCTAAGTCAGTACTTATGTCCACATTCTAGAAACATGTACTATGTTAACAAAGACATTCGGAGGTAATGTCATTCCAGGTTCAAAGGAGTTCAAGTAAATAGCACTGTTACCCTATAGCTGAATGTGACAGAAGGATAAAGAGTGTTGTTATATTTCAGCAAATCTCCCTTTTCTTTAAGCTAACTTAGAGTGAAGGTCATAAAAAAAAAAAAAAAACAACCAACCCTAAATATGGGGCTTTCCAATGAACTCTAAAGTTCGGAGAGGCACGAGAGAAACTTAAGTCTTTTAATGTTCTTTATTTTCAAAAATAAAATCAGATTATAGAAAATGTTTTGCTTTTTGAATACTCAGGACTATAGTATCTGTATTCTGATCCTAACAGGAGGAACTAAGGGGAAAAGACCCACCATCCCTCTCCACCAAAAATAACTTCCTTTGACTATCTCTCTTAAAATTGCTTTTTCTTAATCCCTCAATATGGTATTATTCTTGCCTCAACAAAATACCTGTTTCATCATCATCATGATTACCTCCCCCCTCCCATCACCATTTCATTTTATGTCTAAACAGATTCTGAAATATATCTTAGAGGACAAACTGGATCACTCCTCTGTGTAACTAACTCCGTCTTTAAAACAGTGAGATGACAGCAAGTTAGAGAAGTGCCTTCAATAATTCAACAAGCAGAGGGGAGTACAAAGAACGAGATGAAACTGCCCTCAAGGAGCTTACATTCTGCCGGAGGACAAAACATGTCCTAAATTAATGTGAAGCAATGTCACAGGGTGGGGGATAACAACTAGGCACTCAGAAAGGCCTTGGGTAGGAGGTGGCACTGGAGCTAAGCCCCGAAGGGAGCCAAGGATCCCAAAGGGCTGAGGGAAGAGAGAGCATTCCAAACAGGAGGGCTAGCCTGTGCAAAGGCACCAGAGTGGGAAAGATGGAATGTCATGTACAGGAAATAGCAACAGGCCAGTCTGGCTGGAACCTAGGGTGTGTAGGGGGGAGTAATGTGAAATCAGGCTGGAAAGGAAGGCTGGAGCCAGCCCATGAAGGGCTTTAAATGTCAGAGGATCTGGTGTTTTATCCTAAAGGCAACAGGAAATCACTGAAGCTTCTGGAGCAGGGGAGTGCCATAGGCAGAGCAGAGCTTCAGGAACACCAATTTGGCAGCTGTGTGTAAGAAGGACTGGAGAGGGACACTGGAAAGGCATGTTCAATCATTTTACTTTCAATAAACATATTTTAATAAAGAGACTAAACCAAGGAATACTCAAATGTGAGAAAGAAGATCTTTTGAGTAAAATTTTCAAGATTAAAATAGAAATGACTTTGAAACGTTTCTTCATTTCACAAATTTTAAAGAAGATAACACTACTTTCCTACAACAATGGGCAACAGCAACTTCCCAGTCATCTTACTGACAGCAGAACTGCTAGTTTATTTTACTAGTATGGTTTCAGTAAAATTTCCACAAAGTTCCCCAGAAGCTATTAAAATCTCAAATAGCTAACTTCACAAATATTACTTATATCTTCTATCACCAGAAAATCATGTTTTTTATTCAAGGATAAACATCTTCTTAGTAAAACTATATTACCTTTCTCATTTGTGTTGGTCACAATAATTTTATGACATCAAAATACATCAGCATTTCATGATGGGGAAAAAAGACATCACAGACTACTTGTTTAGTATAAAAAACTTTGCACATTACACCAAACTAATTAATTGGCTAATTAAGTATACTTACTCTATCCTCAAATTCTTATTTTTTTTTGGTGAAAATGGGAACACTATACCCATCTGAATAAGCCATATATACATATATATGTACATGCACATATATACATATAAATACATATTCAAAGCTCTTTTGCTCTGCATTTGGTCTATGTTATTTATCATACCTTAGGTTCCAATGACCCATAAAAAGGCTGGTTTTTAAAGGGCACACCATAACAAGCAAATAGTTTTATACACTATGAAATGCATAAATTTCATCTTTGGCAGTACATACTAACTTACCAGTTTAGTGCCTCTTTTTATTTCCTTTTGAACATCTTCAATAGAAAATCCACCAAGACTCTCATTATCAGAGTGTGAGGTCACCAATGCAGATGAAAAAAGCTATAAGTTATACAAAAGACAACATTTTAAAAGCTTCTTATATTAAGGCATTACAGTAAAACCCAACACGGGAACATTTCTAATCAAAACAGTGTGTCGTCAGTCATATACGATTTCCATAAAGAGTTAGTTGAGATTTTAACACTAATTAATATTTTCCTAGTCTAATGAATATCTTCTTTTTGTGTTTTTTACTGTACTTACCATACATTTGTGATGTGCTGCCACCTTCTGGTTTTCAGATATCAATAACTGTCCACATTCTTTGTCTCTATTAGATTTACAAAAGCCACATTTGCGCTGTCTTGTAGACCCTTTTTTCTGTCCAACTGAGCTTGACATGATTTTTAAATTGCCTTTAGAATGCCACTTTAAGTCTCAAAAAATGCTACAGAGAATAAAAAAGGCAACAACTGTTCATTCCATCTTAAAATTGCCTCCTTGTCTAAATTCTTTTGTATTTGCCATATAATTAAAAAAAGACACTCATTTTGAGAAATCTGTCTAATATATACATAAATTCATATTGAAGCACAAGATGCGACCACAATCAAAAGGCACTACAAATGAACGCTTCCCAGGTAAAGTTTATAGAAATAGCTCCTGAACTACAATTTTAGAATCTTAAAATCTGGAAGAGGACCCATCATTCAGCCCAATGGAAAATGGAAAATATTATAATTATGTGCATAACATCTCTACTTGATCTACATGTGCATGATATAAAAAAATAAGTCAATGTCTTTTGACAGAAGTAGCAATTTTTTTTTTAAAAGCAAATTTAGATGCCCCTGGGGGAAAAAAAAGAATTACAGGTCATAGTATACAATGACAACCAAAAAAAGTATAATTGACTAACATTCTATACTCACAATAGTCAGAAAAGAGTTAAGTTTCATGTCTCAATAAAACAATGAAAGTGAAATAAATTTATCTTTTCTTTATATAGACTTTCAGAGATAAGGAAGCAAGTCACAGTGACATTAATTAGAAACTATTTTTAAAAGGTGTGAGATGAAATGGTACAAGGATACAGATCTATAATTTTATAGGCAGAGAGACCAGCAGAGACTTCACTTATGATCATACTGTGAAAAAGAGATTAATGGTAAACATCTCATTACTCCTTTTTCCAAAAAGGGCCCTCATTATGCTATGATTATTACATGGTTACTAATCATAACAACTTTCCTGCAATTATTTTGTTAATAACTCAAAATTTCAATTCTAAAGAAATATCTTGAATATTTATTTTGTCAAATTACTTTTACACCATTGTATTTCTTTTTCTATGGTAAAGGAAAATTTAAGTTAATAATACTACACTAAAAAATTTAGGATTTTAGAACTTGCTGATTTATACATCAATACTGTAATCTCTTTCAGTGACTCACAGCTTTGTTGTTAATTAGGTAGGCCTTAGGGGTAAAATATGACAGCGACCTAAATGCAGAAACCTCAACAGTAATAAGTGGAAAAATTTTCCAAATGAACTTTAATTTTAATTAAAGTAAAATAATGATAGTAAATGGCATACTTAAAAACAAAGGGAAGAGGGGAAAAGTATCCCATTGAGAGCCATTGCGGAGAAAGCATTTAAGATAAGTTTTGACTGAATTACATTAATTTTCTATAATCTCAAATCCAACAGAACGTATAATTTTACATTCAACTGAACAGTTCAGGGTCCACGGCTTGCTGAATACGTAGCATATCTTATATAACTTCATTCAAGAATTTTGTTTTTAAAATAATCACCATTATTATATCTTATCTTTTGTTGAAGAGCACTTGTCTACCTATAAGAAGACAGTTTTTTTTGGGGGGGGGAGCAAATTTACTTTAATAAACTTTGCAGCATTTTCCAACAATATGAAAAATTAAAATATTATATCAAATGTTAAAGTATGCCAGAGAGAAATATACTTCCTTTTCTTATAATTTATTAGTAATTTTCCTTTAAATTTGAAACTTAAAAGGAACTAATAGTTTCTGTTTTAGGAGCTTTTAATCTAACTTGCTGCTATCACAATTTTTAAGATGGCATTCCTAATGATTTATAAAAATGCTTTATTCATGGCACCACGATATACTTTGAAACTGATGGAAATCAATCCTAAAATAAAAAAGAATTTAAAAGAGAAACAAAAGAAGTATTTGCACATTTGCTCATGCAAGTATGTGAACAGCTGCTTTATCCTATTTATGTATAGCTGCCAAAATCTTTAAATTATCTATCGTAGATAAATATGCAAAACATCAAAATTTAGAAATCACCCCAAGATTTTCCATCTAACGGTCAAATTCTAAATTAATTTTTTTTGATCCCAAGCAATCATTCTAAAACCACCATTCTGTATTCTCCATATTCCCCTCCCAAAGAAAGAATGCTATATTATAGATAGCTAGATATAGATAGATATATTTAATCTGTATAATAGACATTTTTGTTGAATTTAATTTTTAAAGTAGTTTCTATAAATTCCCATCATTGGCCATAAAACGGCCTATGACAAATAAAAAAATTATTTTGGGTTGTGAGGAAGAAGATCTGGAACTGAAAACAAGTGAACACTTTTTATTGTCAAAAAAAAAAGGTAACTTTTATCTAGTCTTGAAATCTTCTCAGCTTATGAAAGGGTCAATTTCCTCATCATAATTTAGATAGCCTACTACTCTTTGTATCAAAGACTACAAAGTCTGAAAGAGTAAACTGATGGCATAAATTCAACTGATACAAAAATGTTTATAGATTAAAAAAGCACAAAATAGTTTAGATTCATAAAGAGAAAAATAGGCAAAGTATGGATCAAACCAATTAAGTTATTTTCCTGAAAAATGGAATAAGTGGGATTTTCCACTCTAACCTGAATAATGCTTAAGTGTATAGACTTCATTAAAATTTTTTGTAGCCACCTTGTAAAACCTGAAAAGAAGTTTATTGAGGAAACAATGACTCCCCAGCAATATGCCATAAAATACAGATTTTGAGCTCACAGCACGACATTTGTGATCTCTACCTAGGAAGATCTGGGGGTTTGCCAAGAACCTATATTAAGGGGTTCATAGCCAGATGGGAATTTATTTTTAGTCCAAAAAGCTTTTGTGTGTGTGTGCATATAAAGCTCAAAGTTGGATGCTCTCACCCTTCGACTGTGCCTTTCTCCTTAAAAGTTTTGTTCTTCAATGTCCTTTTAACTGTTTGCCTTACAACTGTTTACTGCAAAACATCATTTAAATGTCTGGAACATAATTAAGAGCTAGATCAGTTAGATTGAAGCAAATCAATGCTTTTGCGATTTTCCTAGATCATTGTGTAGCACCCTGGTACCGCAAGTAAACCAAACATCAAGGAGAGCATTCAAGAGCACAGCATCAGCTTGAAGAGCACAGAATCAGTTCATTCTGTACCCGAGAATCACATTCAGTCTAATCTTTATTTTCGGTGAAATTTAACAAACATTTATTGGACTTTTACCATATGATTTTTGGATCCAGATGAATTAGAAGTCTCATGAAAAATAAAGCTGTAGGGCAGATAGGTAAAAGCAACATGTAAACGTGATTGTAAGATTTTCAACCACGGAGAAACTGAATTCCGAGAAAACTTGTGTGTTTGAAAAAATATGCTAAATGAATAAAATGTACCGGAAGGGCCTTTGAATTTGGAGGGCTGGTTAGTATCAGATTTTTCTTTACTGTCTTCTGCAGTTGCTCAAAGGACAAGTGAGAGGATTTTCCAGTTAGGAACCCAGAAATACAAAGAGAGCCCACAGCAGCCCCAAATGTATAACTGAGGTTGACTCTCGAGGCTGTAAGACCACCAAAAAGGGGAGGGTGTGGGATTTTTCGGAGGAGACAACAATTACAATGTCTCACAGAACAGGCGTTCGATAGTTATTTTTTGTCCGGCTGGTCCACTTCAGGACAAAAAGAGACGCACAAGGATCCCAAATCAGGCGCCTTTCAACTCGATGCTACTTACCTGGATAGCGGCCCCTTTCACTAATGACACCTCTCCCCACATTAGGGCCTCGAGGAACTCTCGAAGACTTGCTGTGAACCCGCACAGAAGGATCCCCACCCTCTCCAAGCACCCTGCTCCAGCTCCCCCCTAGCTTCCCTCCAACTCCCCTAAAACCTGGGATGATCCCTGAACCCTTTGCAAAAGTCAGGACCTCCCCGATTCACCCAAGAAACTAGACTTTCCCCCCCAATAGTTTCTTTTCATCTCTCCTTCCCCCGGGCCGGCCCCTCCCCCACCCGTTCCCCCTACCCCCAGCGCACTCCCCGCAGACTGGGACCCTCCCCTTCCCAAGAACCCAGAGCCCCCAGGTTCTCCCTCCAAAAGGGCGAGCACCTCTCTACCTGGGCACCCGTCCTCCCCACTCCCCGAAACGCCCCCTTCTCGGCTCCCCGTCCCCCCGGCTGGGCCCCTCCTGCAAGAGGCCGCTAAGGCTCGGTCCCGGGGTCCTGCACAATGCGGCGGAGCCCACTGAGAGTCCCCCCGCAGCAGAGGCAGGGGCGGCGGCCGCCATCCTCCTCCTCCTTCTCCTTCAACTCCCGGGAGCGGGACTTGGGGCCTCGGGGTAGGCAATGCCGGCGCGCGGGCGGGCCGGGGGGCAGGCGCGCGCGGGCAACTCACCGACTGGGCCCAGGAACGAGGCAGGGCCGGCGGAGCGGACGGAAGCGAGCGGGAGCGGGCTCGGGCGGCGGGACTCCTGCGGCGGCGGCTCGGGAGCAGTTCGAAGCCGCCGGAGATTGTTTCCTTTCATTCGAGGAGAGACGGGGCTCCAGCCGAACACCCTGACGTCGGCCCCCCCTCCCCTCGCACGCAGCCGACCCCGAGTAGCGTAGGCACGTTCCCGGCGCGCCGGGAACCCCGATTGGTCGCCTAGGCACCTCCTCCGGGGCCGAGTGGCGCGGCGGCGCATGCGCGGGAGGCGCGGCTCGGGCGGAGGCAGGGCTCGAGGCCCCCTCTCTGCTGCTCGACTGCCGCCGCGGCGCCTTGCCTGGGCCCGGGGGCGTTGCTTTGAGATGGGGCCCGGGAAGAGAGGGGAGAAAGGGAGGGAAAGCGAGCCCTTCCTCATTGGCGGCGGGAGGTGGGGGAAGAAAGCCAGGGTTGGGGCTGTAAACCGTGTGGGGCGGAGGCGGGCCCTAGCATTCAAAGCACTTTCCCTTCCATTTTGTCCTTCTTGTCACACAGCATCTCTGCGGGGCCTCTTTTTTGGGGCCGCCTCCCGCTGGGGAAATCGTCTTGCTTTAGGCTATCCCACAGCTGAGGGGAGAACCCAGGTGGCCCAGGCTCTCTGTAGGCCCCATTGCTTCAGGGATCAGCCCAGGGGCCCCACAGGTTGAGACTTCAAGCCAGAGAAAGCCCCACAATGTCTTGTGTCACTAAAGATGGCAGGAAGGAAAAGGCTTTGAGGTTTTGGGGGGTTGGTTTGATTTCCTAGTAGTACAGGGGTAGGTTTGCCCTGGTATCATCCTGTGTATCTGTTCGATATTTTTTCGTTTCCAGTTTGGTGTTTAAGCTCCTAGAAGAGAAGATCCATGCCCTTTAAATTATGTTGTACAGTACCAGAGATTAGACTAAGTAGCAACAAGGATTTAGGATCTTAGAATTTGAGAACTGGAAAGCACTTTAGAGATCTGCTGGTTAACAAGTATTAATTAAGGGCCTACTATGTGCCAGGCACTGGGATACTAGGGATATAAAAACAAAAGTGAAACAGTCCCTGACCTTCAAAGAGCTTTAAAGGAGGGAACTGGGAGGCAAAGAAGGAGATTGATGGGGTCATAGTTGTGGATAAGAAAGGAACTTCAGAGGCCATCTAGAACAACTACTTCGTTTTACAGGTTAAATAATAAGTGGAATGGTTTTGAATTCTGGTATCCAGACTCCAAATACACATACTTCTTAAAGGAGCTGGTAGAAGTCAAACTACTCTGCTGACAGGTTCCACTACAAATTCACGTTATCTAATCTTAACTGGGGCTTTATTACAACAAAGCAATCCTTTTTCTCTTCTCTAATTGGGTCTTTATCACGCTCCCTGCTGTGGCTATTCGAAAACATTTTCACCTCTAGACCTCCCACCACCAGCCCAGTTGAAGACCTCACCTTATACTTTATGGAGAAAATAGAGGCCATTCATTATGAGATCCCTTTTCTTCCCTGTTCTTCCTTCTTCCCTCTACTACATCTCAAAACCCTTTGACATCATTCTCCATTCTCTCCTTTTCTCTAGTCTTTGGTGAAGAGGCAGCTCTTAACAGCACAACGAATTCCTTTAAGTACTTTTGATCCCCTCCCTCCAGAAATTTTCAGCAAATTGCCAGTCTCTCTAATCTTCAATCCCTTCCTATTTACTGGTTCCTTCCTTGAGCCTTACAAACAATCCCAGGTCTCCCCCATCCTTAAGGAACCCTCGCTTGACCCTACCAGCCTCTCAAGTTATTGGCCTATGTCTTTCTTCCCTATCACAGCCAAACTCCCAGCCGTCTCCTCTCTTTACCTCCACTTCTCTCATTCACTTTCCCATCCTTTGTAATCTGGCTTCCAACCTCATCACTAAATGAAACTACTCTTTCCTAAATTACCAGTCATCAATACTGCCAGATATGATAGCCTTTTCTCAAATCTTTATCCTTCTTGACCTCTGTAGCATTTGGAACTGCTGACTATATTCTCCTCCTAGATACTCTTTCATCTGTGGGTTTTCCAGACACTAATCTTTCTTTGTTTTTTTTGTAGTGCGATCAAACCTGAATTATTAGACTATTTTGGGGTGTATACCAGCTCTTATACACAGGCCTACTGTTAAAGCAAGTAAGGCTGCAGGGTCTTTAATAAAAAGACTAGAACATGTCTATGTTCAAAACATTTATGGGACTTTTGAAAACAGATTCAAAATATCTGTCCCTAAGGGGCAATTTCCACCAAGTTTTCACCCATGTGCCAATTTTGTGGTAGTGATGGCAGAATGCCTGTAGAGCTATGGTACCCATGCAATGAATCACCTTTTTGATTTCTATAAAATTTTTGTTTGCTTATAGCTTGACTACTTTTATTCATTCTTTTGTTATGCAGTGTGGGCCAGTATTGCATAGAGAACCACATTTTCAGTCAGGAAGGAAGGAAAGAAATATTTATTGAACATATATTATATACCAAGTACTGTGCTAAGCACTTTACAAATATTGTCTCATTTTATCCTCACAATAATCCTGGGAGGTAGATCTTATTATTTTCCCCATTTACCAGTTGAGCTAACTGAGGTAAAGAGAAGTTTAGTGACTTGTCCAGAGTCACATGGTTAATAATAACTGTTTGAGGCTTTATTTGAACTCAAGTCTTCCTTACTCCAGACTCAGTCTCAATCCACTTCAATATCTATCTGCCTGTGTTATATACAAGTTGTATGATCATAGGAAAGTCACTTAGCCTTTTGGTGCCCTAGGCAACTCTCTAAGATTGTCAGTTGCAAAGGAGTTGCCACTCTGCATCACTGGAGGTTGCTTCTACACCAGAGAGTTCTTCCACATTGATAAAATCACAGATGTAGACAAAACAAAACAAAAAATATGCACTTACTGAGTATGCCTATTTGGTAGCTGACGGGGATACAATCACTACAAACCACAGTAGAATCCCACAAGAGAAGTACAAACTAGTGCTGTAGGAGTTAGGGGCAGGAGAAGATCAATAAATCCACTTTGTTTTCAGATCTGAATTAAATGGTGTTTAACTTCAGGTTCTGTTTATTAACCCAATTGTCATCATTTAGATGCCACTAAGAGTAGTCACATTGTGCTAACATAGGCTGGTGGTTCCCTTAACAATGCATGATATAATATTGAATGTGTTAAATACTTGTGGCTTTTTCAGATTCTTTCTTCTTTCTTAAAGGTCTTACTCACACTTTCTATCCTTCACTGCAGGACCTAACCCTGTTACCTTCTTCATACCACCTTTCTCCTCAGCACCAGCAACAACTGCTGATCAATTGCCACCAACAGGGAGGAGCCCTGGAAGCGGCAGCACCTCACAGACCACCAGTCCAGATTCCAGCCCAGTCTTCACAGCTGTCAATGCCTATGGAGAAGGGGCCAGCCATCCCCATCAACTGCCATACATGCACATACATCTCAGGCAAACCAGCCTAGCTGAACCAGCAGGGCACCTTGAAGAAGAGGCAGCATGAGCCAGACAAGTCAGACTATTACTACCACCACCTTGACTACTCAGATCTTAATGGAAACAGCCCAAGACCCTGAATTCGAGGGCCTTGGGAATAACAATGTTTCCAGCCCAGTGCCCTCAGCCACCATACTGGGAAGCAGCCCCTGGGAAGATATAGCCTGGGGACTGCTCCTGCAGGTGCTACAGCTACAGTTACTAAAAACCCTGAAAATAAAGTTCTTGCCACCAAAGTCCTTGGCCTTGTCAAATAGATCAACATCAGAAACTGATATGCTTTTTATCAGTGAAAATTACATAAAAGAAGAGAAATTACCATCTGCTTTACCACTATACCCTAAAGACTATGGGACTTTTCCATCTCTGTTATTTCACTTGGTGATCTCATCAGTTCCCATGGATTTAATTATTATCTCTATGTAGATTCTCAAATCTACCTGTCCAGCCCTAAAGTCTCTTCTGACCACCAGTCTCAAATCTTCAGTTGCTTATTGGACATCTCAAACTTGATGTCCCGTAGACATATTAAACTCAGCATGTCAAAAAACAAACTCATTTTCTTTTCCCCCCAAAACCTTTCCCTCTTTATGGCTTCTCTAATACTGTGGGGGGCATCACCATCTTCCCAGTCACCCAGGCTCAAAACCTAGGTGTCATCCTCTACTCCTCATTCTCATCCCTCTTTTTAAATTTGTTGTCAAGTCTTGTCGATTTTACCTTCTTAATATCTCTCATGTACATATCCGTCCATCTTTACATTACTACCATGCTGGTAGAGCCCTCATCAGGACTATTGGTCTATTACCACGGACTGTTGGTTGATTTCTCTGCCACCAGTCTCTCCCCACTTAGTTCATCCTCCACTCAGCTGTCAAATTCATCACAACTGGTCTGACTTGAAGGGGAAACATCAGAAAATGTACTGTTCAATTACAGTCTAAAACAAAGAAGAGGAACCCCCCCACACTCAAACACATATCAATTCTTCTCCAGTGTTTCTCTATGAACTAGGGGTGTGTGTGTGTGTGTGTGTGTGTGTGTGTGAGATCCAAGGATCTCTCCAGGGGAAATGCAAAAGGCTCCCAAATGATGAAATTCCCACAGTATAACACCCAGTTTGTGCTCACCCCATCAAAAGTCACACTTACATTGGAAGGTTGGGGACCTAGAGTGGTGCTGTACTATTCTCTCTCATGGTTCTAGTGGGGTAATCATGAAAAACTGGTTTTCTAGTGCTGTCACTCACAAGCCCCCAACTGGTATGTTTCCTATTAACTCAATGAGCTTTTTTTAAGGTAATTTAATTCTATTTTTATTCTAAATTTAATGAGCACAAAAGGGAACATTTCTATACACAAAGGAAAATAGAAAAGAGGCTTATATATGGAACTGTGAATCCATTAAGCACAGCTTCCTTAAAACACACACACACACACACACACACACACACACATAAATTCAATACATTACTTTCTGAGCTTTCCTATTTCCCTGTTTCTCTCTAAACTTTCTTCTGTTCCCTTCTGTACATTTTAAAGGATGCTTCAGTGACCCTCTTTTATTTCTTTTTGACTTCTTTTTTTGGGGGGGCAATATTTTCAATAACTGTCTCC